TTTATTTTGCCTTCATTTTTTAAAAACAAATTGGCTTTAAAGTAATTCTGGATTTGAAAAATTACTTGTTTGTTTTGCATTATTTATTAAACATCATGTTTAACCATAGGGGCAGTTACACTGTCATCCAAACACGCCAAAAAATGCCAAACCGGAGCCTGGCCGCGATGTTACCAAGGGCAACTACGCTTTACCGGCAGACATGCCAAGCCCCAAACATTCCAAAACGAAGTGTGATCTTTTGGCGTGTTTGGCAAGTATAACCGCTCGCAGTTGTAACATCGCGATGTTAGGCACGTGACTTCCGGCACTTCCGGATTGTTACCCGCGCTCTTTTAAACCACGTTCTTCCCGTGTGATATTTATAGCATTTCCATCGTCGCGCGTGTTATCCGTTCATTCAGCTCCGTTTGTTCCAATTCCGTTAACTCATCCTTTATTCAATCTTCGTTATTCCCGTCTGGCCATATCTGTCTAGTAGTAGTATTTGAGAGTTTTGTTAGATTAATTAATATGGAAGTGAACAATCCCCATTGGACTGATGATGAGATGAAGTTCTTGATTTCGATGTGGAGGCAGGGAGAGCTCCTCCACCAGACTTCCAAGCGTCCCTGCAAACGTGGGGAAAAGGGCTTCAGAGAAATGAGTGAAAGCATGAAATTAACAATTAACAACGATGATTTTCTTAACCTTCCCATATCGTTTTTACTACTAGATTTCGATTGAATTTGGGAAAACTGAATCAGCAGCCGTAGTCCGTACTTCGTAACTTATCCACTCTTGCCTCAAATACTACACGCGAGATAAACAAAACATATCGCATGCATGCGCATGGGATGTATCGCTATTTAGCTAGCTATAGCGCTAGCTGGAAATTGCGCGCGCTAAAAATCTTATAGCAGGCCGGTGTCAAAGGTCGGGAAGACTGCACATGCGCATTACCAACCGAAACACGCCAAAACATCGCTGAACAGCTCCGTCGGTGATGTTTCAGCACAAGTGTAACCGGGTGCACGAAACATCGCGACTTTTCAAAATGAGGTATTTGACAGTATAAATGCGCCTCATGTTTAACTATGGGGCCATACATTAAGTCATCACAATAACCAAACAACTGAACGTTTCCAAACTAGACAAACATGAATGCCAAATGAACCTATCTACAGTGATATCAGCTGTTATGACAAAAATGAACATTTGCTGATGTGCAACACTGTTTCAACAGACTATTAATTTGCCATTGTAAGGTTTTACATACTTTTAATGATTTGTCCACAGTACCTTTATAGAACAGATTCGTTCGCCTGACAAGGGAGAAGAGAGTCTGCAGACTTTATGACACATTTATGGAAGTGGAACTGTCAATTACTTTGGATTCAATAGAATATCAGAGAAACAAAAATCATGGAAAGTAAGACAAACATACTGAACATGTAGTGATGGAGGGAATTTAATGTTCACTTTTGAATTAGAATGATTTTGTTAGCATGTGGTACAAATAGCACCACCCACACATGTAGCTAAATACATCCATATTCTTTTATTCACATCTAGTCGCTATTTTTCCTGCATATTTTGACATTTGTTTTAAAAAAAAGTTATATAGTGTTTTTGTTAATTATTTATTTTATTCCTTCACACAAAAACAACACACATACAAAAAAATAATAACAATCCTGGTTTCATGGTCTACATAATACCCAAAGCACTTCTGTGTGTTGGCCTTCATGGCTACATGCATTACAAAAACATCTTGTTTCCTTGTTTTTGGTAATCTATCTTCAGAAAAATAACATCCAAAGACCACAAAAGTGGTTATTCATTGTTACCCATGATACATAAATAAATTATCTACAGTTTGTATTTGCCCTTGAGGCTGATGACTAAACAAAAAAGGGAAAAATAAATAAATTTAAAAAATAGAAAAATAAAAATATCTGAATGTAAGCACTTCAAACAGATATTATAAGAGTAAATCAATAAACTTATTTGCATCGATTTTAATAATTCCCCTCCTTTTCCCTTCAACCCACCCTTCTTTTCCACCTCCTCCTCTCTCCCTCTCTCTCTCTCTCTCACACACACACACACGCATACTGTACCAAAAAATCTCTCTCTCTCTCTCTCTCTCTCTCTCTCACTTTTTAACTTCACTCTCACTCTTTCCTCATCTAACTAAGATTTATCTGGGCTTCATTCAACCCCATCCCGCTCATTCTCCCTCTCTCCCTTTCCACCCCCTCCCCTCCCCTTCTTACTCTTTCACACCTTCCCACTCGAGTCTCTAAAAAGTCTCTATATAAGCCCCTCCCTCTATTTTTGACCATCGGATCGAAAAAGAAGTCCAGCCAGTTTGAAATATGTCAACAAAAAATAATATATAGATCCTAAACCTCACCCCTGGCTTACTAATCCCCTCAACCCCTCCCTTCCTCCTCCCTTCCTCCTCCTAGTCCCAACTCTTTATACAGATTTACATAATCCCCCTCCCCCCCCCCCACCCCCCTTTAGCTCTCTGCTCATCCTCATCTTCCCACTCACCTAGTCTCTAAGAAGACTTTCTCTAAGCCTCTCTTAGTTTGACCATTTGATCGAAAAGAAGTCCAGCCAGTTCGAAATATGTTGACACAAAATGATATATCTATCCTTCACACATGGCTCTTTTATTCCATCTCACCCCACCCCCCCCCCCCACCCTCCTCGTTCCAACTCTTCTTTAATACTCCTTTACATCTTCCCACTTGCTAGTATCTACAAAGACTTTCTCTAAGCCCCTCTTAGTTTGACCATCCGATCGAAAAGAAGTCCAGCCAGTTTGAAATATATATGTCAACACAAAGTGATATCCTTCACCCCTGGCTCTCTACCCCCCCCCCCCCCCCTTTAGCTATTTGCTCATGCACATCTTCCCACTCACCTAGTTCCTAATACATGCTCTAGGCCTCATTAACTTTGACCTTTAATGGTGGATCACTGCTTCTCACTCTAATTACACAACCATCTGAATTACAAGAGAAGTCCAGCTGAGTATCAATGTTGGTTTGAAATATATGTCAACACTAAATGATATATTTTTCAGATGGATTTTTATAAAACTGATAACCCCCTTAAATAAAAATTAAGAATGAATCACAAGGTTAGATACATACATGAACCACATCTCAAAATTATCCAAAGAGAATAGATTTATAGTTGAATTCAGTGAAGTCAATGCCCCCTTTAAGAATAAATCAAATGTAGCATCCCTTATTAATACACTCACAAAACGCTGCCCCCCCCCCCTCCATTTCAAATCTTCTACTCAATAGGTAGATGAAGGACTTTGAAACTATTTTTTCTTTGCCTGCCAGTTGTTATTTGTGTAGGTTATCATCTATAAAATGTTATAACTTTTTCTAGGGAGAGGGAGAGGGAGAGGTATGAATTTGTATAAACATGCCATCCCCTCTAAACAAAAATCCTGTCAGCCCATGTAGCATTATACCTACCGGAATTTACTTCACCTGGTCCAGAGAACCAGTTCTAGATCAAAACATCTTGATATGTGGCATGTTACTACAATGTACATGTACGTTATGAAGATAAATCCCTTCATATCGAAAAAGAAGGGATGCACCTTCCTAATTCTGCAAGAGCCGGTGGAAGGATATACTATTAAGCAAAGGATTAACACCATCTGCTGAGTGACAGAAAGGCATTAACTCATATACTTTAACACAGAGAGGTACATGCAACGTCCTTCTGGCTCTGCACACATCGTCTATTTGGTGCCAGAATGGCGTTTCAATTATAACCCATATATAATATCTTTATTAAACACAGAGTCAATGCCCTTCTAGCCCGTAACAGTTGAAAGAGACATATAATATGCGCTATACAAGTACGGTATATTATTATTATTATCTTGTGAGACGCTGGGTATGGGTTTAGCTCACAGCATGGAAAGTGGTCCAATTTTAAGGGTAGAAAGTTTTTTATTAGCATTGCACTTTCATCGAGAGTGACCTGCATGGTCTCATGGAGTGCAAGGCGGGAAAGATCTTAGACGGATGATACCAGTGATGATACAAAGTCCAACCTAGCCTCTTAACCCTCTCACCACTGCAATCAGCAAATACTCATTGACTTCTAACTTGATTCTACCATGATCCCATGTTTCTACCAAGACCAAAAGAGTTATGATATTATTTGGATTTTGAGGTATCTTCTTTGGAGTCAAGTTTCTTCAAAGACTTGACATTCTTGCGTTCCTCATCATTTAGGATATTCCCATCATTATCATCCTATCCATCCTATAATTTCCAACCTGGGCTCATGCAATATCTGTACATTTAGATAAATAAAGTTTCTGCCCTCCTTAATATTTCAGTCAAATAGAAAGAAGAAAGAAAAGATATAATAAAAGATAAGAAATATGCATAAAATATATTTCAAGGAGCTGTACATGTATATAGGCTGAACTTGCATGTTTGAACAGGTATATAAACTGTCCATGGTTTTCAGCATCGCCAACTAGAAGAACATCAATAATAACATCATCAACATCATCTTAAACTTCATCATCATCACTGCCATCAAAGCCAACAAGAGCAGATATACAGTACACGTATCACCCACTAAAGCAACAAAATGATCATACACTTCAGTTCAAGCCACTGTGAAATACTTATTTCCTTATTTACATGGAGTGTACTTGTATGCGCTAGCCAGGAGGATGAAACAGGGCATAAATACAGCTGGAAGCCAAATGGAATCGAGGTTGACATAAAAGGTCGCCAAGACAAGACAAGAGCATTGAATAGCGAATAACTTTGAATTCCTACATGTGTTCGATGCAGGGCTACAGTTGAACTACCGGTATCTCCCTAGATAGATATGTAGAACAAGAAATTTGAAATTAGGAATGTCATGTCACTTGGTGGATAGTATACACACAAGCAAATGTAATATCACGAGTAGACAACATCCAGTGCATTTGTACGACAATTCTAAATTCCTACCTGAGTGATGGCTTCCCTCCAAGAATATGAGAGATGGAAGACGCAAAACCGCAAAAAAGTTCGAGAGTCATCTGGACAATACTGGAGTACTTTACGTGTACAAACTAACTTGTAAACATCCAATGCCGACAACTGGTTGTAACTTGCACCAGACCAGAGTGCTGGAATTTCAGCTCTGATCTATCATGTACAAAACATGAACACTAGAGGGCTCACTCCCTTTTAAAATCTCTGACAAGTTTGAGCAGTGCTTGCCTGGTTCAGTACAGTGAATCACATATTAGAAGGCTGAACACCACGACAGAGTCGTGACCAAGTTTGAAGGAGATGATGTTCATAACACTATATCAAACGTGCATGTAATTTTTCAGTATCCTTTGTTATTCTGTTATATGTAGTTTTCATTCGTATATCAATTTTGAAAAACTGCCAGAGACATAAAAGGGTCTTATTATCGCAAATATATACATTAATTTAGGGGAAAGGAGTGATCTGTCAGGTATGTTACAGCCAAATATTAATCATGTTTGATAATAAGACACAACTGGAAAAGTTTGAGTGATAGCTGGACAGCTCCCTCTACCGATCTTTATACCTTTCTTCTTTTGTGGATATTTTATCTTAATTTGCCAAAGTGCTTCATGCAATTTTTACTACCCCAGAATTCTCATTCATATTTACTTCTATCTGTCGCTTTACTAAAAGCTTTTTGTCATTTTTTCCCCATCTCATATTTTATAAATTTTGGTTCAACTGGTCAATGCAATATAATAATAATAATGATAATAGTGGCTACTTGTATAACGCACAGCTCCACCTTTCGTCATCCCTCCTCACCTATCCTTTCCAGGTTTTCCTGCCCCATCTCTAGTTTCTTAACTTCTGGTTCAATCGATCGATTCTTTACGTCCAGTTATCTTTGGATTCTAGCGCTCGGCTCATCCATCCTCCTCCTCATCCTCACCATCTCCATCGCTCTCTAAAATAAAACCCACCCCCTCTGCCTGAATTATGGCATCGAATTCCATAGATGCTTGAGGCAGAGGACGCCACTTTGGGTCTCCCACTCCGACCCTATCCATTACCCTCTCCTTCCAGACAGCCGATGCTCCAAAGGGAAACGGTTGCCATGACGACGGGGATGCTGCTGGGATAACGTCATCATCATCATCCTCTTCAGGCCTGTCTTCATCAGCTCGAGATTGCCGAATAGCCCGCTATTTCTGATTTTGGAAATAATCCCGAAGTTACAAATCGCGTCTTCATCAGCTCGAGCTTCGACCTCGAAACTTGAAACTCGACCTTGAGAAAATGGCTCGAGATATTTTGCTCAGCGTTCGCGCATAGTGCGAGTCTTCGGGCTGGTGAGGACGCACCGGACAAATAGCGGGTTATCTTGCAAACTATCCTAAGATATCTTGGGACGATTATCCCGACCAAATATCCCGCTAATTGCAACTTCGGGCTGATGAAGAGTTGAAGACGCAAACTAACTGGATAATTTGCGATCGGGATATCTGAAATAGCGGGATATTTGGCAATCTCGAGCTGATGAGGACAGGCCTTTCTTCATCCGCATCCTCCTCATCCCCAGCATGCATAGGATCAATCAATGCTCTTCAGACCAAGGCAAAGAAAAGGGAGTCCAAATTGGGTGAAGGATGGGCAAGGAGTCGGATCTGAGAACCATTCAGGTTACGTTATGTGTTGTCTGTTTGGACCCAGAAGGGCGTTAAGAGGTGTTAACTCTGTGTGAAATTATATGAGCTAACACCCTTCTGCCTACAAACAGGGGGTGTTTCATAGATGGATTCATTCTCAACTGTTCAGCCACAAATGAATTCTTACATTGGGCAGTGACCAGTGAAAGAATATCCAACCTGAAAAACTTAAAGTGATATACACACACAGCGCTCTAGAAAGTTCCAAAAGAGTTCCAAAAGAGTTCCAGTAAAAAAAAATTAAACAAATTATTTATGCGAGAATCTCCTGTAAGTCTTACTGTTTCAGTACATAATTATGAAAAGCCCTTATAACTCATCACCCCTTTTTATATAGACCTATAGTAATGAAAATAAAAAAAGAGTAAAAATGAAACTAAAGAAATACAAAGAGGTGAGAGGGGGGAGTGCATGGGCGAAAGACTACGCAACATCATGGATTTGTTTACAGCTGGAATGTGAATCATCAGTTCAATTAATTAAAAGCATCTTTGCTTGATTCGAACAAGTAGCTATAAATCATTGCTTACAATAGCCTACAGTATACATACATATACACTAAACATCAACTACTATAATTAAATGTAATATATGTGATGTATGTAAGTAATCCATTTAGATACAGACGAGAACACAGCTAAGATTAGGCAGAGGAATTATGAGCTTGGGGGAATTAATCAACTTCCCTGGAAAACCATCAATCAGTAGGCCAAAAATTCTTCCTCATAAATCTGTATAATACTTTCAGCACTGACAATTTGTTGAAGATAGTAATCCAGATTTCTTGTAATGGAAATGCATGGAAAGAAAAATCACATTGTGCAATCACATTGTGAGATAGGAAGATATCTGAGTTCTGCCTGTCCTGAAATATCTATTGAATATTAATGTCAACGGCATGCTATACAGTGTGAGTCCCAAAAAAAGTTTACAGCTAGAAAATTGTTGAATTGGGTGGGAAAAATGTGAATTATTATCAGGCCATATTTGAAATGTTTCAACCTCCTTTTAAATAGCAAGTGTATACATGTACCGGTACAATGTACATATGAAAGAAATTAGTACAATGTACCAATAATATATAATACTAATATATAGGTTTAATTGAACTAAAGGGGAAAAAACTTTGCTATAAATGGTAACTTACTATACGGACTGTACATTGGGATAGTGATAGTGGTGGTTATTTTACCTGGCAGCTAAGAAAGCAGTAAATGCTAGTTAATAAGCAACCAAAAAATCTCAAAGAGACTGATCTTGGAAGACTCATCGAGAGTTCTATGGGGTCATATTTCTTGTTTCGATAAGAACAACTATAAGTACAACTTGGGTATCCTAAACTTCCGGCAATATTTCATTTTTTATCACTTCTGTGGTTTCGCAAGCTCATAGTTTAGACTTTGATGGTACCATGTCAACATAGCTAAAAGTAATCCAATAGCAATCAACAACCCCAGTTTACTTTGAATTCTCTTTGTTTTTGTGCCGTGTGAACCCCTCTACAAAGTGGATCATTGTTTATAGCTTCTGAGGATTCGCAAGATCATAGTTTATACTACAAAGGTACCATGTCAATGTAGCTAATAGCAATCCAATAGCAATCAACAGCCCCAGTTTACTTTGAATTCTCATTGTTTAAGTGCCGTGTGAACCCTCTACATAGTGGATCATTGTTTACAACTTCTGAGGTTTCGCAAACTTTCAGTTTTAAACTCCAATGGTACCATGTGAACATAGCTATGGTACATGTAATAGCAATCCAATAGCAATCAACAGCCCCCTGTAGTTTAGATCATCTGTTACTATTTTTCAGCGACCTATGCAACATGCTACATGCAGTATAAAGAATCCTTCTCCATGTACTACATGTGTGTAAGCTCTACCAGTTTAAAGACCCTATCCAATGAAAATACAACTTTATATCAATAGAAAGCTGAATAGGCGTAGAATCAAAATATAATGGAATAACAAGTATTTTCCTTTTAAGTATTGTACAAAAGCAAATTAAAACCCCATTTTCCTTTCTTATCTACCAGTATTTGTTGTCGTTGATGATGTTTATGACATTTAATGTTGCAAACATACAGATTATGGTAATAAACATATGTATTTATAGAAAAACATTGTGATAAACTCGGATACCCTTTAATCTTGATATGAAAGTGAATTTCATCTCATCTCTATTTAATTTTAATCGTAGACAGTGGTTTTGAGCAGATGGCGTTTCAGAAATATGAACCTCGATACTAAAAAAACCTTCCCCTTCTAATATTTCTGTGGTTTCGACAGACAAAATGAATATTTTAAAGTAGATATCATGTTTGGTTTCCGAAGGGTTTGATATAAAAACCCGGACCTTAAATGACCCATCCAGACGAATATGTAGCCTGATATATTTGTTTCCTGTTCAATAAATTGTTTCGAAAGAAGTGTCTTCAACCGTCATGATGCCACCAGATTTACAAAACATTCATCAAAAATAAATCTTTGTGAGACAAGTTTCCACTTTTACTTGTGCCTCTCACCTTACACTTTGTGTACACATGTAGTTCTTCTACAAGCACTATGCCATTATCTTGGATACTTCAAAATTCATCACCGGTTTTAAATTCGGGCCCAGATGCAGTGCTTTAAGCTGTGTCATGCACTTGCATTTTGTAAATTTATGGAACAAGCTAGCAACACATTCATGAAACCCTTTGAATTTCAAAAAGAAAAGCTAACATGTTCGTTATCATTACAATATTTCAGTGGTTTAAACCACCTCCAGCAGTATAAGAGTTAGAGAAATTTATAAATTTATAAATAAATGAAACATTATTCAAACCTGATCACTCACTAATTTCCTTTTGTATTGAGGGCAACATTCCTTGACTATTTATACAGTCTCTTATGCCATCCATAACTCTACATGTATTGGAATGATAATTGGATTCCACAAGCTAATTTTGTAATCTCCGTATACATGTAACCTAATCTCACCCACTACAACATCGCTGGATTCAGAATATATCTAGGTAAAGGTATGTTCACACGTCATAGTGTTTAACTTTATTAAAGTTAGCGAAATCTTGAAGTTTTAATGAACAATCCACCAACAACGGACAGGGGTTCACACGAGACCCAAAGGGCCAATGATTATTCACAGATTTAAACTTCAACCCAGGCAAGCGGTCATTTTATCTACATGCTGGCGTAACCTCAAATTAAAGTGCTTCCTCAGGCAAAGCCATGTAACTTCGAGGGAGGACCCCCTGCGGCTTGTAGTTACCGTGCTAACCATAAGATTGCTCTTTGGTGATAGCTGTATTAAAGTAAACTTAAAGCTTTATAATCACGAGTGAGCCCACACGGTCCTTTATTATAACTACAATATTATCTTGAAGATTAAAACTGCAATCTAAACTTGACGTTCATGGACTGCCGTGTGAACCTGATTAATAAGGCATCGGTGGATTAGGATGTCATGGTCAATTAGTCCAATTAGCCTGGTTATTATCTCCATAGAAAAATGGGCATGCACATTCCTTCAGCAAGCCTGGGACAAGTCTATACTTATGAGTCATAATAATCACAATTCATTACATGTACATGGCTTGATTTTTAAGAGTATGGTCTTTCAAATAGCAAATAGGTGTACCTATTTTTGGTTATAACCTGAACCTTATTGAAAGAAATCAGGCCTGACTTACGATAACTGAATTGCAGGAGAATAAAAATTGAACAAATTCCAAACAAATACCAGGGTCCATATTCTACTAATTCAGTTAAACTTTACACCCAGTCTAAAATCATGTTCAACAAAGGAATATTTAGACCTCAGACTAACTTCCTTTGTCAAACCAAATTTAAGATAGAAGTTTGAACCCTGCATAAGGTTTAAATTTCAGTAGAATACAGGCCTTTAAGTTTGTATACTACCATCTAATCCTACAAGCCAATCATGTTTTAGAAAATAATTACAGATGAGCAGAGGGCAAAACGATGAGGATGTAATAGTCTCTTCTGAATGAAAAGCCCTGGTGCACTCCCCCCCCCCCCACCTCCACCACCCCTCAACCTCCTCCCTTTTACATCATCTTCCACCCCGGCCCCCCCCCCCCCCCCCCCGGCCCCCCCTTGCTCTAGATCTCAAATGCCTTTATATCTTGGTGCATATCGTGCATGTCATCGCCCCCTGCTATTTACCCAATCCAGCAAATAGATCAATAAATGGCAAACAGACATGTATGGAAATAACTGGAATACATCAAAAGAATCAGTCATAAGGAGGGATGAGAGCAGAAGAAACAGTGGCCACATTCTCATCAATTATCATGAATTTCTCTTGGAAAAGTCTACTCAGTGGAGTGGACACCAAAAATCCTACTCGGATGAAGAAAGACTTTTAATAAATCAATAAAAAGTTTTCAAAGAATTTTTAAAAGAAAACATCCCCATCAAT